AGAAAAGTTATAAGGGTTGATTGCTGGCAGACTGATGTCACCTGAGGTTCGATAGCTTCTGGGACTGTATCAAAGATTTAATGTCTCAGAAAAGGTGCAAGATGTAAATCCCTAAGATAGGTTTACAGTAGATTGACATGAGACAAAACTTTGTCCTGACCTATAAGGTCCCAACAACAGAGAAACTACTTATGTAACGACAGAGTCGTCAAAGAAATGTTGAGGAGAGAAGTGTAAGGGTATCTGCGGAAAACTCCTCAGGAATTCTGTGGAGAGCCTCTGATAGGAGATGTATAGAAGAAAATACCGTAAGAGAGTGGTTAGGGTAAGACATAAGTGAGAATATTGGGCATGGGTAAGATTAACATTAGATTTGGGAGCCACCCTCTAAATAGGTAATAATGAACCTAACAACTGCTGATCTAAAAACAGATAGTCTGTATGATGGTTAGAAAAGGCGAACTGATCAGAAGTCCTTGGGGGCATAGCTTGCTGATACCTTCATTTAATTGTGAGACAAATTGATCCACATGTAACCGAATATCAGGGGAAGGAGGAAAAACCAAAAATAGTTGGGAAGCTTGTTCATGCAACAAGGAAGAATGAGAGGAGCAAGAGATATGGGAAAGTGACAAAACATCACAAACCTGAGACACGAAATTCATAAAGACCAATTTAGGCCTAGGTGATTCTTCAGGCTGTAAATGGGAAGGAACAGCATACTCAGGTGGAGGAAAAAAAGGATCAAAGTCATCATCATTCTGAACAAGATCAGCTGATTCAGGATGAGCCTGAGTTATGTCGGGGGACAAAGGTTGACCCATGTAGTGCTCAATCTCCCAATGTATAAAAGCAGAAAGATCTACTGTCGGGTTGCCCACACCTGAGGCCTGGTTGTTGGTATGACCCCCAAAGTGGTAACGTGAACTTCGGAATTCAAAACACAAGAAAAGGTTCACAAAATTCGAGAGCAGAAATATAGCGACAAGAAAGAACTGGTATAAAATAAAATAAAGACAGAAGGAACCACTTCGTGTGAAAAAGATTTTTGTTTGTTTGTCACAATGGAAGCACTAGGCATACAAAAGAGTATGTCTTAAATCAAATGCTGCCAAATTGGAAGTGAAGGTTTGGTAGAGGAGTGTAGATGGAGTCACATGCATCACGTGAGCATATCATGCTACAATTGGTTAAGAGATGGTGCATGATGACTTACATGAGGGCAGGGCACATGGGTGGCCAATAAGAGGGGACCAGCTGTTTGGGGTTCAGCTGACCCCTCTGACTCCAAGCCCTCAGTCTTTCTCTCATTGGAAATGGTGTTAATTTAGTTAGGTAAAAGGGTTTCAAGAACTGCGTTGAGTTTTCCAGACTGCTTTAGTGTAGTTGGGGCATTAAAGTCTCCAACTAAAATGGGTGTGGGCTGTCTAAGTAGTTTTATAAAGTTAATGTCAATCGGTTTGCTGGGAGAATACATGGCTAGAATAGAAATGGTTTGGCTGTTGTTAATTCGGATGTTACAATAAATGCTTTCATTGATGGCTGAATAAATGTTTGATTCAATCTCAATATAGTGAGTTATGCTTTGTTTAAAAATGCCGCTGGTTTCCTTAGTTTTAGGTCATGTAAGTGATTTAAAGCCAGGAATATTAATGTTAGTTTCTTCTTTTGCTAAAGCTTCTGATATTATGACAACTCAAGGTACTAGTTTTATTTTGTTGTCAGGTTAATTAGCTTGGGTGAAAAAAAAACAAAATCTTGTCACATATGACAACATTAACCAGGAAATATCTGTTCAAATGGCACGCCTAAAGAGGTAGATCATGATTTGCCAAAGCAAATATACAGGGTGCAGGCAGGCTTCTTCCTTTCTCAGCTGTGTATTCTGATATCCTATTGGCTGGCTTCTCCCAAGTACCAAGAATAAAACCCAATAAACAATAAAATTTTATTTCATGATGTTATTGATGACATATGAGTGTGAATATCTTTTTATCATGTATAATTAACATTAGGAAACAGTTATATATACAGCCTAAGTCAGACTAAGTGGTATCATGGACAGGCCTTAAAGATTTAGTTTATTTTTCAATCAAATGTTGCTACATTTACTTCTCTGTTCTGCCTCATCAAGAACACTATCATGGTACTATTCCTGGGTAGCCTAATAAACCAGCATGCACACATGCAGTGAAAATATATTTGTTTTTTTAGTGCAAAAGATTTGTAGCTTACATAATTATAGCCTATTCTCCATTTTCATTGAAATATAATTTGTAATTATTATAAATACAAATGTTTCATTCATACTAATGCACAATAAATTATTTTCCAAAGTCGAAAATCATTTGTATGTGTATGGGGTGGGATGCACAAGACTAAAAGTTGGTCTACTGGTAGGATAGCTAGTACCAGTGCACCGACTCTGTATAGTCAGAAAATAATATAATATGATATAAAAAAATAATATGAAGAAAATCTATTTACAAATTGATTTAAGATTTTAAGTAGTTACTTAATGCAAGAAATAGGTATTTGAGTAAATAGCCTTATTTGTGCCATTTCTTATTTTTAATGATGTTTTGATATATATCATCAACTTATCTATTTATGTATTATTGACACGTGCTGAGACTTACCGTTTACTGTACGTTGAGTTATGTTATTTGTTAAAACATATGTGCACGATGCACATCCTAGTGTAGGTATGAAATTCCTTCTTTTGAGAGGATAATACATTACGTATATATAGAGATAATTCATTAATTGGAGTCAGTGTACCAGTCAAATATAGCCAGTACTGTCAAAATTTATCTTTTATTGGTATTACTATCATTGCCATTTTCTTTATCTATCTTTCCATTATCATAATTAGTATATTGCATTGTGATTGTTATTAATAATTTACTATAGAAAATTACTGTCATCATAATTACTGGAATTTCATCAGAGTACCTGTTACTGGTGTATGTAACCTGCAAAGAGTACATTTGTAGACACTTGATTCTAAATTTAAACTTCTGATTTTCAGAAATAGGAAGCCTTATGGATGCTTCAGAATGAAATAAACAACTAACTCAAAAAAGGCATCAAGCTTTCATGGCAAATTTTTACAGTATTAGCAATTTCTACAAAGCACATAATTATCAAAATCCATTAATAAATAAAAAAATTATGTTTGAAATAAGTTAAATAACACTCCCCTTATTTATTCCAACAGATGGCTGATCATAGAAAAACAAAACAATTATCTGGAGCAGCCTACAGAAAGCAAAAATTACAAATAGAAGAAAGAGTAAAAAGTGTTTCTGGATCAATAGAAAAATTTATAAAACGTAAAGATTCCGTAAAGATGTCTTGCAGTTATACAACACAAGGTACACAAGAAGAAACTAAGCCAACTAATGAGACTGTAGAAATTGACATCTTTAGTGGAATTGATAATGAAAACATCAACAGAATCACAGATGAAGAAATGCTGAATACTGCAGACACTCCTGAATACCAGGAGGAAAATAACAGTTTGCCTCACAGAGAATATATTTTAAGTGATGACCCTGGTAGGTGGCCAGTTATATTATCTGATAATCAGGTGCAGTTAGTGTTACAGAATGGACCTGAATGCAAAACAGGTGTAAAGTACCCTGCTGAAGAAAATGAAAGAACATTTTTGGATGTATATTATACCTGCATTTTACCAAATGGTGAATATTGTGAGAGAAAGTGGCTATTGTATTCTGTTTCATGTAATAGTGTTTTTTGCTTTTGCTGTAAATTATTTAGTAAACAAGAAAATCAAATAATTAAAGGGGGAATTTTCTGATTGGCAACATGCTTATCAACATTTCTCGCAACATGAAAAAAGTTTACACCACATAAACAATTACAAAAAATGGTCAATTCTTAATTTTGCTTTAGAAAACAAATCTACTACAGATAAACAACAAAAAAAGACATTGGTAGGCTGTAATAGAGCAGATGATGTACATTATAACATTTCTTTCCAGACAAAATCTAGCTTTTCGAGGTTCCTATGATAAGTTGTTTGAACCTGATAATGGACATTTTTTAAAAGCTACAGAAATGATAGCTAAGTTTGACTAAGTGATGGCTGAGCATATCAGGCGCATACAGAATAAAAAAGAATAATTAGTGGGTGCCTGCATATTTATGGCATCAGATTCAAAAGGAAATTAATTAATTCAAATTAGATATGTCTAGAAGAGCAAAATAGTTTTCTATGATCCTTGACTGTACACCAGATGCAAATCACAGAGCAAATCACCATAATCATTCGGTTTGTGGAAATGAACATGAACATTTCCTTGGATTTTATCCTGTCACAGATTCCACTGGGGAGGGATTAACCTTGTTTGTTCTGAAAAAGTTGGAAGATTTAAAGCTAAATAGTCATGGCAAAGAATTTTAGATATCAATCCATGAGTCTTTTTTTTGTACAGTGTGCTTCCCACAGCCTAAACCTCATAATTAATGATGCAATAAAGGTTACACTTGAAGCTATAGAATTGTTTAATATTGTGCAAGAATTACATGCATTTTTTTTCATCTTCAACTCCAAGATGGGGCATCTTAAAAAAACATATTACAAAGCTAACATTAAAACCAGTTTCAGAAAACAGATGGGAGAGAAGGATTGATGCCATCAAGCCTTTAAGACTTTAAATAGGAAAAATATATGATAGTCTGACAGAATTAGTGAATGGAACAAATAAAAATATGACCACTCATTACCAGACTCAATGTATGGCCACAAAAATTAAAAACTTTTAAGTTTTTATGCTCTGTTGTAACGTGGTCAGCAAAATGCTGCAGACACCAAAGCTAAATACCAGAACATGTATTGATCTATTAACTCTCTCAACATGGGCTCAGTCAATTTGACCAACCACGTGACCTCTTTGTACTCATTTAAAGTCTTTGTAGATTTAATACTTCTAACTTTCAATATAGTGTGTATATCTTCACAAAATTTGACTCACCACCTGGATGAACTATTCTACGTCCATCAGAGAGTAACATTTCTCCAGATTCAACCAAAGCCTTTAGTATACAGGTGACATGAGTTGGAGCCTTGTCTGCTTCATCCACAACCAGAATATGGCCTTGTTGAACAGCTCGAACCTGAAAGTACCAATTTAAATTTTACTGTGTTATTGATGTTCAAGATATCATTTGTAATTTCAGTGTAAGAATGATATTCAGGATAAAACTTCAGGTAAACTAGAGTGACACAATATAAAAAATGTGATAATCTCCACACATGAATAAAACATAATACTGTTGATGTATTTTCACTAAAGATCACTTGAAATAAGCAAAAAGTGACAAAAATATATAACCAAATTTTTATTAAACATTCCACAAATGCTTCTTAAAAGGGCTAGTCAATAATAATTCAGAAAAGTAGGTTTATATTGTTTTTCTTAATATAAATGGTTTATGGGTTGTTTTGTTTCACTATATCTTAAGAACTGAGAAGCTTAGTTTCTGGGCACTAGATTTATTCAGTAAGTAAAATTATTTTTGAAGGTTAGTTTTAGCTTATATCTCAATTTTGCTCATAAAAGCACAAAATTAAAAAACTGAATAATTACAAAATAGTATTTTAATACAGAAGACATCATTGTTTATATGAAATATTCCAATGTTATTAATGGTTTACCAAATGTACATATATAACACACTAGAGAACTATTAAACTGCATGTACCAGCATTGAACTGTTATGTAACAGCTAGCCAAGTAGTGTACACATACACAAGTCACATAAATACTGCAAATATTCCTCAAATCACAGTTAACCCTCATTTAGTCACGCAAGGTCATAATGACCCCCTGCAAGTTCTTTAATTAATTATTATGTGATAGATGGCACTTTACTTAACCTCATGCACAGTAGCTTCCTTAGTTGTGTGTCTGTCAATGCTGTGGTCTTCATCAGTGTTCTGCAGTTGTAGTTTTTTTTGCAAAGTTTTAGAATGGGGTCATATTTACCCCATGTGACTAACTGGGTTATAATTTTTAGCAAGGTCAGTTTGTTTTCCTGTGATTTTAATTTACTTGATTTTATGTGTTTTTCCTAGTTTATGGCTAAAAGATGTCTTTTTATTCTATATCTCTTCTTTTCTGTCATTTCTCTGTTTAATTATTTGTTTTAGATGATATCTAATTACTTCTTGTACATCTTCATATTGCCACTTTGGTTTTTATTTTATACAGATGGCTATAAAAGAACTTACCACTACTAAAATACATTTTGATATTGTACGCCATAATTTAAGGCTTTCATTATTCTACTTTGCTTATAAACAATGATTTGGACTAAAAAAACAAGTTATAATAGTTTGAGCTTCGTAATAATTTAAGTACCACACTGGGGTCATAATGATCCCAGGAGACCACATATGTTCCATTTTACAACACAACTAATTAAGAGTTAATGTCTATATTTGGGCGTGTAACATATACCAAATAATTATCAATTAAGTTATTTTAAAGTATTTAAAACAATAACAGCTTTTCTACAGCACTCACTAGGGGAGAATCTTGGTAAACAATACGTCCATCTTTAACTGACGGCTGCAAGGTCAAAGTTTGAACTGATGTGTCTCTGAAATTTGAGAGAAAAGACAAATATAACAGCAATAGCAACTGTACAGTCAGCTTTATCTAGCTTGAATGACATCAAACCTCTCATCTGCTACCTTGTTTCACAACATTATAGTTTTAAATACTTTATCCTACAGGTAAACCTTCATTGTACAAGCAGCCCCCCCCCCCCCCATCAGAAAAATTTAAGTGATGACATTTAAAAACTTCATGTAAGTCTACAGTATACTTCTCCAAGGCTAACAACAATTTTCATTTTGAAAATAAAGGTACTAAGCCTGGCATTTATAAAGGTCTACGTGTACAGTATTATGCAAAACTATGCTGTCATGTCAATACATTATTTAAATATGAAATTGTGAATTTTTCATTGTTTTCATTACCAATTTAAATCCAAAACATTATTTTCAGTTCAACAAATGGAAGAAGCAATTAATAACAACAAAGACAATTCTAACAATAATACATCACTATACAAACCTGTGAAGCTGTAGGTATTCACGAGGTCTGTTCAACAATTGGAGGAAACGATCAACAATCTTATTCTTTCCAACACCTTGATTACCAACAAGAAGCAAGTGTTCTCCTAAAGTAAAGTCTTGTAACATGGCTTCCAATATAGAAATGTGCTATAAAATAACGATAATACTGTTAATCTTAGAACTATTAAAATATAAGTTAAAAGATGATAACATGCTGGTAAATATATTAAAAGGATTAAAGAATACTGTTTAGACAAATGTTCTTTTAAAAGTCATAATGATGGAATATTAAACATATATAAAAGCTGAGACTATACAAAAGCATGTTTGAGACACGATTCTTAT